TAGATCAAGAGCCAAAGTTGGGCAGCTTCCACTTGTAGCTACCAATAGAGGTCTGACTGATTCTTATAGAATGTTACATTGATGTTAAATTAACAAATACAACACATAATAAGCAGTGTCAGTGTTGACCTGCCATTTTACACTATACCAGTGTAGTCAGCTGGGAGTTGAAATGTGTGCATGCATTCATTATTATTTCCCCTCGTGTCTTACTCTTGGCTTTATAGTAATTAAAGCAAAATCAATTAAATATACTTAAGAGACTTCAAAGATATTTCAGCAAGAAGAAACAAAGTCCAAGTGTGAAGAGATAAAGGTAATAATGCGTTTAAACCGCCTGCACCACTGCATGAACAATAGGTAAAAACCAAAGCACAAACATTTGTGCAGCTACAATAAAACAAGGACAGTCTAAGTTTATAGATCTATGGTTACATACAAGAGGGTAGTACACCGACAGTTCTATCATCAGTAAATTCTATGTGGTTGTTTAACAAAGTCAGTTAAAGTCGGGGTCTGACAAAAAAAATCATTCCTATTACTTCCTCAAGTCATTCCTATTACTAGTAACAATCAACCATATCAAATAACACATCTCTAATCTCTTTGTGGTTTATTTAATATTTGAAAAAATGTATCCAGAAAACGTGTCTTTGAGCAAATATTTTCCAATTTTTACATTTTCAGGTTTTCTAAAAAGTTACATATTTAAATATACAGTATAATGTTAATACTGTATATCTAAAGATATACATCTATAGATATCTATAGATATACAGTACAATGTCCGTCAGCAATTAAAATATATTCAATTTAAACTTTAGAACTAACAAAGAGAAGACATAAAGGTTTAAAAGTGTAGGTCGTGTGATCCTTAATCATCTACAGAGTCTCTCATAAAAAGAAAGGCATCTCACAAATAGAAAGGCAGAACAAAGGTTTTCCTATACTTCTAACCATACATTCAACACAAACTCACAGCCTGCTTTTCTTTAATCCCATTTTATCTACAAATTTCAATGTAATGTTCTGGGATTTTAGTTTATGAAGGAATGCAGAGGAACCCACAAACATCAGTAGGTACAAATCATGTTTGTATTTTTTCCACATAACACCAACAGTACAGTCAACTGAACAGTCAACTGAAACTACACAACCAGACAAACAAACCTGTGGATTGCCTGAGTTGATTACAAGAAAGTCTATGACTCAAAGCCACACACGGATCATGGAACGCCTGAAGCTGTGCAAGATCGACAACACTCTAAGGGCCGGATTTATCAAGATCTAATTTTGCGTGCAGTAATTTGCGCTCGCAAACTGGAATTTTGCGCGAGGGGCTGAACCATGGTTTGCGGGTGATTTAACAAGAGCGATTGCGTAACTGGTGGCAGGTGCAAAACTGTTGGAGACGCCCTATTTAAATGATGGTTTTGCGCGTTTTGTGGTTTACGGCAAAGTAGTTTGTGCAAACTAGTGCATTAAGAAATTTTAATCTTACAGTGACACCCCCACCAAAATTGTATATATATATATATATATATATATATATATATATATATATAAAAACTTTGGCAACCTTTATTCCCTATGGTGGTATGTGGCTGAATTTCTACTTCACTGCAGTAAAAAAGAAAAAAATATTAAAAGTGGGAGGTCGGGGTTCTCCCATAGGGCGTCAGGGCGACATGGCATTTAGAACGTCGGACAGCACTTCTGAATAACGAGATTGGGAGATCCCAGATGCAAAAAAGTGCAATGTTGCAAGGAGTTTTGTGATATCTGGTATTGCGTGGGTCCTCCTTGTGGCTGGCTCCAAATCCATTCGGAGTTCCCCCAACAGCTCCAAAATGGCAATGCTGGATAAACCATATGTTTTGATGATCGTTTCCTCGTTCATTCCAAAAATATTCACACGGAGTGGAAAAAGTGCGTTCTCTGCGTCTCCTTGCTTCATTTCGATGTCTCCTTCTTGCGACAATAACCGCTGCCATGTGTGCGCAATTACGCATACAGACCATTTGCACCTTCTTTTGAAACGTGTTAAATATAGAGTCAGATACCGTTTGAAAAATTGCTTTCAGGTTTAATAAATCAATTTGCGAGTGCTAAATTAATATATTTACATGTTCTCCTCCCACAAGACGCACTTTTGCGTGTAAACGCCCCATATTGCATATTCATTGCAGAAAAAGTACTAAATGGATAAGAGGCGCTATTTAGCACGTTTTAAAGACCAAATCCTTTTAGCACGCTGTTGATAGATCAGTTTGTACATTTTTTAGCGTGCGCAGTGAAATAGCTCACGTTTTTATACACGCAAACCTTTGATAGATCCGGCCCTAAGAGTTTTCATCGAATACTCCATGGGGCTGTGGAAAACCACACTTAAGGCCAACTTCAAGCAAAATGCAAAATCTCCTTCAAGTCAAATGTGAAAATAATATATCAAGCTGATATACAAGTGAGAATATGTAAACTAGTTCATTTCTCTAAAATTCGTTAATTTCTATTATATATCAAGCTATAAAAACAACAAAATTAAAATAAGTTACAACTAAACGTTATAACAGTTTACATTTCCTTAAACTTAATACATTTTCGTCTGACAAGAATGTGGGCGCTGAATTGCTTCATCACATGAGAAGCATGGAAATGCCACACTTAGACTAAAAGGGAAATTCATGCATGGTGTTTTTTAGTCCTAATTAGTTAAGAGCTGGCAAAAACAACATTAGAATGTGAAGAGGTGTCAATAATGAACCTGCACCCCATGTGGTAAGAAAACAAGTAAGTCTAAACACAAGCTAATGAGTCCTTCTGTTTTACTTTTCTAACCTGCAAATGTTACTTTGGAGGGGGAAATTGCTTAGACATTTTTTTGTCTTTTCTCCACATGCTTAGAGGGGAACTTTTTATATATCCTGACAATTTTTATTAAGATTTCAAAAAATAAGATGCGTCTTTTTTTTTTATCAAACGTTGTTTACAAGAGGAGTGATGCTTCTGTTGGACACAAGGCTGATTCTCAGATAAAGCTTTGCAAAAATTCATTAATGTTAAAAAAATCTGATACTGTGGAAAAGAAGATACTTGGTTTTCTACATAACTGCAACTACAGGAGAACACTGTGTTCCTGGCATGTTTCCCATACAGCTTGACAAGTCCAAAGATTGGACAGGTGGTGTGGGGATGGTGTTGGAATGGTACGATGAGATGATGCCCAGTGGCCATGTGGCATCGCCCGCTCTTCATATGGGACGAAAGGGAGCCTACATGCCCATAGTGACCACGGCAATGAGTCAGTGGCATTGCCACTTCCTGCAAAAGTGCATGAGAATGAATGTGGCTTTAGGTCAGGGCGAGTTGAATAACTGGGAACAAGCCTTTCAGGGTACTATGACACTCTGAGATTGCAGCCAAGTGCAGAATAAAGCCATTTATTCAGATGTGGAGGTTGTAGTATCAATACAGATGAATAAGGTTCAAAGTGTGAGAAACCTAAATATAAATTTAGATTTGAGTACAGAAAACAGCTACATGCAGAAATCAAAACAAAGTAGATAAAGTTCTTTTCATGAGATTACAAGAAACAACAGCAACATATGTGAAACAGTTCACAACAAGTGAACGCCTTCCTTTTTATAAAAAAAAAAAAAAAAGTCCTAAATCTGTACACAAAGAAGCTAAAAATAGAGGCTCCCACAAGCCAAAGGAAACCCTTCTGTAAAAGCAAAAAAAGGTTATTTGCAATCCTGCAGACTATTGGATTTGACAATTCCATGTGTGCTGCAGGTTATGGAAAGACATGGATGCTATCTTAACCTTATTCTCACATCTTATAAAATAGAGAAAAAAATCACAGAACCACAGTTCTTTTTTATGCATAGTTCTACAGTAGAAAGTACGACGGAGTATTAGGGCCCCACATGAAGAGAAAAAATATTTTTGCCATGACGAGAATAAACTCGACATGTCGACTTTAAAGTCGACATTTCGAGAATAAAGTTGAAATGTCATGTTGAGTTTAATCTCGACGTGTCGACAATAAAGTTGAAATTAGTTCAAGAGAGCCAACCGCTGCACAGGTTACATGCACAGAATCCAGAATCAGACATGCCTTGTGTAGATGATTTGGTCAAATTGTACTTCCTGTGATGATTATACAGTTGCAGCACGTCAAAGACTACCTTCACTCTTAAAACGCAGACTGCAGCTGTGGAGCGCGGTTGCTCTTTTCTCCAAACTTTGGAATGTCGAGATTAAAGTCGCCACGATATATCAACTTTATTCTCGAAATGGCGAGTTTAAAGTCGACAGGGCGAGTTTAAAGTCGACACGTCGAGATTAAACTCAACAAGACATTTCAACTTTATTCTCGAAATGGCGAGTTTAAACTCGACATGTCGACTTTAAAGTCGACATGTCGAGTTTAATCTCGTCATGGCAAAAATATTTTTTCTCTTCATGTGTGGCCCTAATACTCCGTCGTAAGAAAGCAAATGTATAAGATTAAGAAAGTGATAAAAAAAAAAGTCAAGTAAGTTATCAGCCCTGACCAATTACCTGCAGAAGGAAACGTTAACAGATGGGTAAAAAAAAAAAAAATCTGTGGACATCTTTTCCACATCCAAAGCTAGAGCAACTGGAGATGAGCACAACTCATCTTCCCTGCAGCCCCTTCCATTCAGTTCATTCACACAAGAGAGGAGCCGAGGTTTAGCCGTGGGTAAATCTGGCTGAGATTAAAGAGGTCTGTCAACTCTTCTCAAATGAAGCACTGGATAATCATATTAAGCATTATATGGGCTTCCAATATTCACTGTGACATCACGCTAAGCTACAATGTGCCCATAGCCAGTGGCCAAAGAGATCCACAAGCATGTCCACGTACACACACTGCTGTGTCAGAATTTGGACAAGGCACTCTTTGCACATTTCAGTGCCAACGGTGGCTATAATTGAGGGAATATGGCTTCAAGGAAGAGAGATGGACTCACCGTGGCAAGCTCATCAAACTTTCCAAACAGCTCATTTAGCAGCTTAACCAGCTCCTGAGCTGTGCACTGAGACGCCAGGCTGGTGAAACCAACTATATCTGCAAATAGAATGCTGCAACAGAGAAAAAGAAGAACAATTCAAGTCAGTGCTGGTTAAATATAGTAACATGGTAGTGTTTTTATAAGAATGAAACACCGTTCTTGTAAAAAATGTACAAAATCTTTATGTACTGTATATGTATATCAACAAAAAAGTGACACCAACGTCCATATGTACTGTATAAAGCGACAGAAAGGAGACAGAAAGAATCTGTTCTATTCTTCAATTGACTAGCAAAGCATGCAGTCAAGCAGAGCAAATTAAAAAAAGCAGCAGGAGCATCTCAGGGGGATTTCAGACATGGCCTGTAGGAGCTGCAGAGGAGTCATTCTAAGACATCATGCATCTAAAGGGGCTGCAACTCTCTGCAAGAGAACTTCACTTTCATAGTTACTGTAGCTGGCTGCATACAGGACTAAGGCTACCCGAGCAAATAGTTAATAAAAAAAATATTTGGAATTTAATCTACATGCATGTTATGTCAATTTAAGATAGCAGCTCCTTTTTTTTTATCAAATTGCTGTTTGTAATATTGAACAGAGATATAATAGTTTATGTTTTATGTTATGATGCAAAGACCTGCACATTTTATCATTACCATGTATTTCATACTAAAATGGAATACAAATAGCATATGTAGTTTGCAGTAGTTCCCAAGAATAAAACCAACTGTTTGAATGACTTGGTTAAGTACTTGAGTTTACTAACTAATCCAAAGCCTATGCAAAAAAACACACAAAAATAACTGAAAAATCTAAATAGCCAGGTGTCAAAATAAGGTCAGTGAGGAGTTTCAAGCTGTAAAATCACATGTATCAAATGAAGGCATTTATAATCATTTAAAAATGTGTGCAATTTGATTTAAATTTGCATAAATCACCCTTGTCAGATTTAAAGTTGTATCCCAAATTTAAAATAACAGTGGTCATGGTGACCTGACCTACAACTGTTGTTTTGCAGCATGCCTCTGTAATAGAAGTTCCAAGTTTTTTTCATTATTTATTGTCACCTTCAAACAAGCTTTTACAGTGGATACATCAACCGCCTTGGAGCATGTGTTTTTTTTGTGCTGGCAGGCAACACATCCTTTTGGCTCATCTATGAACACCCTATTGTATTCTGAGCACGCACCCAGAAGAAAGACAGGTGGAAAATAAGACCTTGTCACATGGCTTCCCATGGCTTTCACTATAGTCACCCCATAGTGAAAAAGTAGGCAAGGCATAAACTTGCAAATCTTAATGAAAATAACATAGTGGGTTTTCTGATGCTTGCTAAGATACAATTTTATGCTATGAGAAACTTAAAGCTACAGTGTGTAATTTTCAGCGACATCTAATGTCCAGACTGCAGACCGCAGCAACATGAACATCTCCCCCCCACCGCTTCTCCCCCCCAACAGTACGGCGAGCGTTACGGGACAAAATGTCTTCCACGACGTCCGCATCACCTACCTTCTCAAGTGATGAGGTTTGTTTACATAGATAATTTTACAGATAGTATTTCATTAGTCTGTGTGTTCAGTACCGTCTCAGTTCATCTCTCTCAACTTGCTGTAGTTACTTTCGAGCTTAATGGGCGATCTCGCAATCGCTAGTTTGTTGGCTCTGCGCTGCCGTAGCACAAAGATGTCTGCCTCCATGGCTGCGAGACCCGCTCTTATGTAATTATAAATAACGAATTCTAAGGCAACGCAAATATTAAGGTTAAGAGGCTGAGCTTGTAGATGATGATAAATAACATAGTTATGTATAATATATTACATTTCTGACTGTATATCCCTGTAATTATTACACACTGTAGCTTTAAAAAACGGGAAATGGAAACAGTTCTGAACCATTTGACCTGATAACTAAAAGATCCCTTGATAACAACAGTATCTCCACATTTACTGACTGAAAAAAGTCTATTCTACTGTCATAATAAAGTAACACTGACTGATAGGACTGCCTCACTTTAGGTTTGTATCAAAACATAAAGGTGATTACATATAGCTAAGGTGGAAAGGCAAAGGTGAAAAAGAACAAAACCTGCAGCACAGGTCAGGCGTCATGAGTCTAGTGCGTTTTTTGTTGTTGTTGTTGTTTTTTGGGGAAAAAAGGGACTACATTTGGTCATTTGCTCTTAAAAATCCAAAATATCAAAAGCAATCAGAAACTAAAATGGATTACTCTACTGTACAATGACAACAAATTTTGTCATGGGTAAAGATTTATGTGAATTTATGTTTTTTATTTTGGAACATGAATTTAAACTCCATTTTATGGAGAATTACAATTAAGCCCTAAGTTATTTATATCACATGTTCTACCAACATGTTTCTTCTGGCTGGAAGTAATTAAGCTGTTATCCCAGCCAATCCTAACTTCAGACTAAAAGAGAATCTGCTGGGGCAGCTAAGGATTAGGGTAATTGCATAGCGCCCTTCCAGTGTCCAACACCTGGAGCTCCTCAGCAAAGTGGTCAAAATGTCATTGGAAACAGGCAACAAGGAAAATAGTTGGAGAATAGTTTGACATTACTCAAATATTTTTTTATGAATAATTTTTTGACATATTTTGTTTAGGATTAATACTACTTACACAATGTGCTGTCTTTTTAAATCTAATTTTTTGGTTTATTAAAAATTTTTTTAAATCCTCAAATCCCAGGAGTATGAATAATTTATGGCTTAACTACCAATGCTAAATTATTTCCACTATTGCTAATTCTTGATCACGCTGTTTGTAAAAGCTTAAAACAATTTATCAATTGATTCATAGATTTATGAACAAAACGTGTCAAATCATGTTAATGTTATTCTCCTGAAGCAGGTACTGTAACATATATCAATTGCTACAGCTTTATCTGACTCCACTGAGAATATCTAATAAGTAAAGATGCAGTAAGTCACCTCGGACTCTATTGAAAAAACAAACACAACAAAAACAAACCTACCTCAGCTGGTAAGTCAGATAAAGTTCTAAAAGCTTCTTAGCTAACATGCTGGTAACAGATTTTACATTTATGCTATTTTACTACATTTAATGAAAATATATTTCAAAGCAAATTTCAACAAAGAAACAAAACCCGACCTGTTCTCAGAATCAATGGAGATCAGCTTTACTTCTGCATATATTAAATGTTAGAACAGATGGAGTCAAACGTGCTCCTTAGCCCAAGGACTGTAAAGCTCTTGTTTATTCCTTGTGTTGTGTAATAAAGCAGAGGAGAATGTTTCTGAAGAACTGGGCATGAGTGCTGTGTGCTAGTTGATAGTGTGAAAGGAATTAGTCATAAAACTGTCCCAAACAACTTACACATCTACAGCTCTTGTGCTCACGGCCGACTGTTACCTTCATGTGGGCTTGAGATTTCACAGCATGACAGAGTGCTGGATCTCTGAGAAAGAGCTGCTAAATGTCACTTTGTTGTCTCACAGATGTCACCATAATGAGGTGCAGTGGATTCAGTTTGCGGTAAAGACTTTAACCAATAACAATCTGTGGCTATTGAAGTTGTGGTGCATTAAATCCTTATTTTTTAAGTAAAATTTTTAGACCAGTTTTTTTTTTAACTCTGCAAAGAGGTTACAGTGTGGTGAAAGCAACATTTATTTCCTTAAGGATTGAATCTGTTTCTACTTTTTGCCATGGCTAAATAGTCCAGATCCTCCAGAAAAATGTAATATGTCACACAAGTATACCTTCAGCAAACAGAAACTTTTTTCAAATGTGTATGTCTGCATCTATGTGAAGAAGAGCTGCCCCCAAACCTAATAATTGCTTGTACCACAATACTAGCCTATTAAATCTTATGAGGGTGCGGACAAGTGCAAGACCAGTTCAAAAATATTTTTACATATTTTTTATTGCCCCAAAACATCTTATTGTCCTTGAGTTTATGGTTGAAAACTGATGGACATTATTGTTCAGGATCATTCTTAGAAAATGATGGTATATAGTAAAATAAAACAGTAAAATATGGTTTAGTCAACTACAGCAAATTGACAATGTCATGCAGTGGTAAAATGAACTCAGTCTAGATGATGTTTGTTTTCTTAAATAATGAGTACGTTTTAGACCAGTTGTAAAGTGGCTCAAACTCTAAAAAAAAAAGTATCCTTGCATTACACCATTCTGCAGAATATTTTGTTAAAATTAATAGGATTTCGGAAAGGATCTTCTTGGTACTTTTTGGTCAGCAAACGCTTTCCACTTAAAATGTCTCGATATCTGTGTTCTGTGGGCCTGGATGAAATGAACTTTGTGCCATATTGGTTGATATAGCACCTTTACCAAAAAGAATAAAATCATAATTTGGAAATTGCTTTTTTGCATTTATTCAGGTTATCTTTTTCTGACATTTACATTTGATTGATGATCTACAATATATGTTCTAACAAAAACAATTCCAACCAAAATCTTTGAGTGGTAAATAATTATCTTAACACTGCTAAAAGCAGGTTAAACAGCCCTTGAATAGCATACTCAAAAAAGTCACTTTAGTATTATCCTGAAAAGAATCACATGTAAACTAACTATAAATGACTTCTCCAGAAAGGACTAAAGTCTGTACTTATTGCCAGTATTGAAAAATAGACATCATGTATGGATTAAAACAAGTTTGCCGGTCATTAAGTGTTGAATAAAATACAAAATGCAACAAGCACGAGAAAATAAACTTCAGGGAATTCAGAAAAAGCCTATTCTCATACACAGTAAAAATCTCTTTGATATGATTCATTTTTTGTTTTGATTTCTATTTCTGAAAAAAAGCAAACAGCTTCTACATTAAGTGCTCTTAATGTACTGTATTTAAGATGCAGCAGAAAAAATAAACAAAGTGATTATACTAAAAAATCAAATTACACAGTGTTTGATTCTGAAAGAGATATATCTATCCAAATCATCCTCCTACACATCACATGTTCATTGGTTTAAATATGAACTTAATCCAGGATTATTATAAAATCTTCATATATTGTGTATGTGTATAGGCTAAGTGCAGTAGGTGTATTTAAAAGAGAATTG